ACTAAGCACAAATGATTGAGTATTTGAGCAACAACATTTTTTCTTTTGCGTTGGCCATTTGAATGCGGCAACAAAATGAGTGAACAAGCTGAGCTTCGTGTATCTTGCAGATACAAATGCGTGCCAGCCAGCCAGAGAGCACAGACTCGTAGACACAGACAAACAACAATAAACAACTCGCTCATTAATTTGCATATTTTAAGTTAGTTTATTGTTGTTGTTGCTGTTGCTGTTCGTTTGCTAAACACGTTTGCGGGCGTGGAATGAAGTCAAAATGTGCTCGTATATAGAGAGGACAACGTCACGCACAGACGCAAAGAGTTTACGCTGATTTAAGGCTGTTGTTGTTGTTGTTGTTGTTGTATTGACTGATTGAGTGATTGAATGGGTTAAGAAGGCGGGCGTTGTTGTGGCCGTGCAAGAACAAATGTATGGCCGCACGTTCAGAATTCAAAGAGACAAGCTATTTGAGTTACAATTGACAAATGACATTTGCAGTTAACTATGCAGCTTTGCTTTGCATAAATCAATAATGATTGCTGTTGTTGTTGCTGTTGTTGTCCGTTTTCCAACTTTCAACAACCCGGCAATTAATCAATTCTGAACGCTGTGGCTAAAATAGTGTGCCACGCCCACGCAGCTAGTTTCTTTTTTGTGTAATTATTTAATGAGCTGCATATACTTATGAATGAAAACTCAATGTTTAGAGCTCATTATCGTCGTCCGCGCACGGAGGCAGTCTAGTAGCACGTGCATGTGTCTATGTGTGTGAGAAAGTGTGTCCATGTGTGTGTGTGTGTGTGTGTGTGTGTGTGTCTAATCTGCCCACAAAATGCAATAAATTGTGAGCAAACAATTGAATTGTAGGCGTGCTTGGCTCTCCAAAGTTGTAAACAAGCCACAAGATAACTTTTTTTGGTTTTGCAAATATGTAATACTCTTGCTATATCGATTGGATGTGGTTGAATGACCAGAAGGGCGGATATAACTTTTTTCCCCCAGTAAAGCTACAACTTTTTTCAATTAAATGACTTGTAAAACGAACTAAATAATTATATAAATGCAGCTGAAAAGTATAGCCAGCAGATTTTCTAGAGTTCTTTATTACCTCAAGCTCTAACCTCTTTTATTTTAAGAGCATGGATAAGCAAAAATAATTGATTTCGCAAAAAGAAAATACAAATTCAATTCAGAAAGGAAACTTCAAAATATAGATTAAATAGAGACGGAGCTCAGAGATATCTGATTTGTTAAACGTGGTATAAAAATATATACATATGTAGAACATAACAAGTTTAGTTCAAAATGTCAATCTAACGTCAATCTTCAGATAATCATAACTACTATAGAAGATTTGTAAATCCCGGGCTTTTTGGTAAAAATGCAGTGGAAAACAAAAAAACTACGATCTTTTTATTTAACATGGTGGGGAAATATTTACTAGCCAGGCTGGCAAACCACTCCTACTATGGCCAATTGGATTAAAAATTAGCTCATTCAATTGATCATAAAATATTTAAAACAAATGGAGAACGTTTTACATTTCATTGACTTAAAAATAGAAATATGTAGAAGTGATTAAATACTAACGTTTCTTTTCACTATTTTTAGTTAAGAAAACCCAGTATGAAAATAGGTTAAAACGTTAAAATGGTTAAAATGTTCACAATACATGATTTAGTCATCTTTATACCGAGTTTATTAAATGGTATTCAAAGGTCCTCTACTTGACTGATTTAGCTTAGTTTTAAAGTTGTTTTGTATTTATTTAAAGGTATTTTGATCGAGGATTTATAATTAATTTATGTTGCTTTGATTATCTTAATGAAATTTTATCATCTCTATCTATTACCTCTTGTAAAATATTAGAAAAAGAACATCATTCACAATTATATTCTTTTTGTTATCTCTTTCATTATCTCCATCTATAATCGCTTTAATAATTCTAAAGAAAGATCGTCATCTCTAAAGAATCTGTATGGGGCAAATTGATTGAACAATTCAATATGCTCAGTTAAACAAATGCATGGTAGCCACAAAATTAGGCAAATCAACAACTTAGCCAGGCAGCCAACCAGCCAACTAGCCGGTCAACCAAAGCAGTCAACAAACTGGAACAGAACACGACATTCTGTGAGTATCGCACACCAAAAACTACACAAACACACATGCCTCTCGTTTAGATAGCCAACAACAGACAGCAATTGCTAAATAAAGCTATAGAATTTACAATAGATTTATGCATAAAATATGCAAAAATATTGAATGTAAACATGAATACACATTGTTCATGCGTTTGTGAGGTGGTGGCATTTTCTTTGAACAACAGCAACAATCACTTAGTTGGGCTGACTTGGAAGTTTTTGGACAGCATTAGTTATATAAGCCTTACAGAGGCTTATGGCATGCACTTTGTTTGTCAGTTTGTTTGCATGTGCACCCGCCCAGTATTAAGTGGATGATGAACAGTAAACAAGACTAACGCAATCATAAATTCAATAAGAGAAGCCAAACACTAAAAGCTGGAGCATGAAATGCACCGCACCAAAGCCAAAGAAATCAATTTGCATAAAAACAGAAAACAAAATCACGGGGAGACAAAGCTGCTAATTGAACGAAGCCGCAATACTCTTTGCGATTTGAAGTTTTTGATTGAAGTTATCATCAGATTTGACTATGATACTATTATTTGATTGGGTTGATAAAATAATAATAACATACTGTTCAACTTTTTTACAATGTCATAAGATAGCAAATAATCAGCGAAAGAAATTCAAAGATCGTGCAATCTTCTAAATAAGATAGACAAGGTGGACACTGAATAACTAATTTTAAAGATTTTTGTAAAATAGAAACAATTCACAATAAAACATGGCTAAACAAAGAAGAATTCATGAAGTTGTTGGGACCAGGGAAAGGCTCCCAGAGACCTTTCTGATAATAGATTGTCACAAAGATTAAAAATTCAACAATCAATGTGAAGGAGATAAATTTGGAAAGCTTAGATTATAAACTCAATCTCATTGAGACGCATTTTAGGATAGGGGAAATAGACTAACTGATAGCTTCTAAGAAAAAGGCTATTAGGCAGCTTTTACATTCAAAATATATTATTCTAAACGTTGCTGGGGAATATATTTTTGGAAGCAAGTAAAACCCCTTTATTATTTGAGAAACTATGTACAATATATTTGATTGCAATATCTCCACAAAATTGAATATAATCGATGGCATCCGTCGAAAGCTTAGTTTATAAACTTAATCTCATTGAGACGCATTTTAGGACAACTAAGCTTTAAAGGAAATAAACTAACTGATAGCTTCTAAGAAATAGCCTTTAATCTCAAAATATATTATTGTAAGTGATGCTGGGAAATATAATTTTGGAAGAACGGAAAACCCCTTTATTATTTGAGAAACTATGTACAATGTGTTTGATTGCAATATCTTCACAATATTGTATATAATCGATGGCATCCGTGTTCATTAATCTAAACTAGCCAGTTGAGACGTTGCTGAAGACTACAATCATTCGGTCAGTTGAATGAACAATACCCCGCTAGTGCAGTGTATAAATGAGAGTGAATGCACGCACAACTATTGCCACACATCCAACGGCAGCAGCAATCCCGATTTGACAGACAAAACGCATTGTTGGCATTGCACAACAACAGCAACAACAATAATGGGGGCAACAACAAAGTAAAACGACGACGCACTTGAATGCCAGACAAATCAGATAGACTTGCATGCATATAGACGACAGACCTCGACTCTGGGCCAATTGTGCGACCAATTTCTTTATCTTGCAGCAGCCACGAACAGCAGCAGCAGAAGCGGCGGATATTTTATGGGGGAAAGTTTCAAATGGCAGCAATGGCAACAACAACAACAACAACAACGTCGTCGTCACTCACAGATAACTGCGGCAGTTAGCTGAACGAAGATTGAACGGACCCGCCTGCATATGGCGGCGAATATTCAAATGAAGCTTGTTGTTGTAGTTGCTTTGCCAGTTGGCTGCATTTCTTTTGATTTGCGCCGTGAAAAATGAGCTGAGCTGTTAACAATATATGTGGCGTCGATTTATGAGCACCTCACTGCTCTGCCTATAATTAAAAGAAAGATATGCCCCCTCTAGCTTTTCTCACTCGCCCATGGTAATTGACAATAATAATAATTGCACAAATCACAATTGTCAATTGGTGTAGGCATTTATTAATAATTAATATTTATAGCTATGCTAAAAATTGCCTGTCAAACTGGTTGAAAGACTTTTCTTTAACTTTGCTTTGTTTCTACTCGTAGTTTCTAGTTCCTGTTCGAACTGTTCAATGACAGCAGATTTCTCAAATCGCCAGCTGGAGCTGTCCACGATTGAGCGCACGATTTTAAATCAACTGAAACGCGCAAATAAATCGCAAAGTCAATCGGCCGGTCAGTCAGGTAGTCAGCCAGTCAGGCATTCAGTCCGTCAATAGTCGATTGTTGAATTTCCTATCATGTTGTCAATCACTCAAACGGATTTGTTTGGTGTCGCGCATGCGCATTTGTCAATATGTCAACATACTTATATTTCTTTTGCAGCAAATTAAAAGACAAAGTTTTCATTGTTAAAAAAAAGAATTAATTAGATCCCACAAAATATTGCTATGAATTAAAGCTAGTTGTGTTTTTCTTTATATTTTTAAGGGCATTAAAATTCGATTTCTTTAAACATAAATGTTGATATTTAAATATATTTAGCAACGAAAATTTGTTTCATTCCTTAATCTTTTAAAAATCATTTTAACATTTTTCTTTCAAGTACAAGTATTTATTTTCTGCTATAAGGCTCAATTTCTGTTTAAAATATATTACAATCATACCGCTTAAACAAAATATAGTAGAAATGATAACAAAAAGTTATTATTCTTAAAAATTGCATGTATTTCTACGACTTTTTCAACGAATACATTTAATTTTTCGCCAGCCGCCCAAACGAAAATTATAACGGCCAACAAAAGATTAAAAATATCAGGAAGAGATCAATTTTTATGTATACTCTGTCGCACTGAATAATTAGAAATCATTGAATTCCTTTACGAAATAATTGGTGGTTGACATTTCCAAGGGCAACTCCTCATAGTCTTCGTAATAGCTTGTGTCGTTCGGACCTTTGATCTGAGGTATAAATGGGGCAGGGATTTTCTTTTTGAAAATAGATATCCAGTTTGTCATTCTGAACCATTCCTGGTCCTTAATGTCATTGATGCCGCCACTAAGATTGCCATATCGTTTGGTCATATCTTTTTCCAAAAGCTTGCGTAGCAGATTTTTCAAGTTGGTGCTAAAGCGTGAGGGAAAATAAACCTCGGAAGTTAAAATCTGCTCATAGATCTTCATGGGGTTATTCGATTGAAAGGGCGGATGGCCAGCTACCATTTCAAAGATAAGCACACCGAAGGCCCACCAGTCCACGGACTTGTTATAGCCCTTGGCCAAGATGATTTCGGGCGCCAAATATTCGGGTGTGCCGCAGAACGTCCAAGTGCGATCTTTGATTTGCTTGACAAGCCCGAAATCGCAAATTTTCACATAACCCTGGGCATCAATTAGTATGTTCTCCGGCTTCAGATCGCGATATATTAAATCCAAATAGTGTAAGTACTGGAAGGCCATTGCGATTTGAGCCGCATAGAAGTTCGCGTGGGACTCGCTTAGGTGGCCAGCCTTACTCAGATACGTAAATAGTTCGCCACCAGGCACAAACTCCATCACCAAATACAGATTTGAGTTGTCCTTAAAGTGATAGAGGAGCGAGACAATGAAAGGATAGCTCACGGCCCGCAGGTTGCGTTTCTCGCTCAACGTGTGCTCGACCTGGCTCAAACGAACCACCTTCTTCTTGCTGATTATCTTCATGGCGTAGTAGGTCTTCGTGGGCTTCTGCTGCACAAATAGAACTCTGCCGAAAGTGCCCACACCCAGGGTCTTTGAGAGCTCAAAATCGTCGACTGACATGTTACAGACCTCATTCTGATTCAATTTTCTTATGAATTCCGCTTTGGAGTAGTCGAGAAAATTTTTCACCGATTCGGCTGTTTCTGCCTTGGAATGAGTTGGGTTCGTATTAATATTTGGTTTCGAATAGGTTCCCATGACGCGGGCACAGCCGAAAAATCATTTTTTCAAATATTACAATTTGTATCATTCAATTCATTTCGAATTTGGCAAATAGATCTTAGTCTAAAGTAAAAAAAAAATCACGCCAAATAGCACCAAATAAATATAAAGTGGACGGTAGTACTGGGAAATCTTTTTAATGGGATTATATTTTATTTTATTTCTAGAAAAGGCACAGCTAACAATGTAAGCCAACAGATAGTTTAAACGAATTGAGTGTATTCAGAATTAATTAAACTGCTCTGGAAGTTAAGAGCTCTATCAATTCTATCAGAGTATTATGAAATCTATCAGTGACTATAGTTTAGGTTAGTAACTCGAAGAGGTAACAGAAGTCGCATATATATTTTGAACTCAATTTTCCCATTTCGGGGATGAATTTTCCAAAATCCACTCGATTAGAAAGGATAAGTTCTAGCAGTGTTTATCAATAATAGACAGCAACGTTTTCTATTTTGCATTTACATTTTCAAAACCTTCTACATGATATTCTAGTTACTTTATTTGAAACCAATGGTAACCATACTTGTATTACCAATCATTTAAGCACTTATTCTGCCACATACTATTTGACACTCCATTTAAATTTGTGTCGCAAAATTGTGTACCTTTTTCTCAGCTTTTAAAGCCCAGTCGAGAAAATTGTTTGTACATAAATTTAGATTAAATTCTTTTAATCAGATTATGAGCTTTCGATGAATGCTACCCAATATAAAAATTGAAGCAACCAATTTAATTTATCTACACTCCACACTGCTCAATTGATTAATTATATAGATACCCACTCTATTCATCGACTTGCAACTTAAGAGTGGCGGGCAGTCTAAGTGTTACAAATATTAATAACAGGTTGTTTTGTTGCATGACTTGCGCAGACACATGACTGCATAATGACAGCTGAATTATTGTATTTACGTAAAAATATAATTATTTGCAATTAATTGCACATCAATGGAAACAAAAAGGCAACTCTCGATTGAAAACTAAGCACCACTTGATGATGTGGGGTGTTGGTAAATGAAAACTGCACAGCCATGGACTTCAACGAACCTCTCGCGAAAAAAAAGGCGAAAATAATCACCACGGGCATGATGATTTAATAAACCGCTGCAATTTAGTTGCAGCAACTCGAACAACGTGACAAACATGCAACGTGATGGCTCTTGGCTATGAGGCTGAATGAAATGTGGAGAGTGTGCGCGTCATAAAACTGCAATATGATGCGGAAAAAGTTGTAATGGCAAACGGGGTTCATGGAAAGCTAAAAAGCTGGCACAAAATTAAAAAAGAAATAAAAAAAAAAACCAGAAAAGAGTGGAAGAACGCCACAGGCTGGCCGGGTGTCAAAGTTGATGGGAGACGGCGGGCCCCCAAAGTCTATTTAACTTTGGCTGGGAAGGCAGCGCCAACATCAACACCAAGCCTGCTCTGACCGCCAGTTGATTTGAAAGTTTAATGCCATATTTGTGTTGGCTAAAAGCCTTTTGCTAATGTTGCTGTTGTAGTTGTTGTCGTTACAGCCGATGCGGGCCATGCACGTAATGCACACTAATGCCCGCGCAATTTGTCTAATGATTGTTATTTGTGTAAGTAATTTGTGGCTGCGCAGAGACAACGAAAATCTCCTTTATTTTCGATTATAAGTGTTAATTTAATGAATGGACTTCCGATATGTGCGGCCGAGCAATGCATTTGACTTAAATGACTCTTGGCCAGAGGTTAATACACACACTTGACTGCTGCTAGCTTCGTGACGAACTAAAGCCTTATGCAAGACCAATAATTTGATGAAAGTACCAGCTATTACAAGTTTAAAACTCAAACAGAAAAATGCAATTAAAAATCTATAAATATTTTGTGAAAAATTGCTTGTCAAATGAATGACGATAGCTATAATCAACTGGGAGTTTTCAAACTAAACAATAGAGTTGAAGAAGTTGCAGCTAAAAAGGAAAACGGAATTTGAGAGAAGAAGAGTTTTAACGAGGAAGGCTGTTAAAGAAGAACAGGTGTTGATGAAGTAGAGTGTTGATGAAGAAGAGATTATGTAAAGAAGAAGATATTTGGCGAAAAAGAGCATTAAAAACTGGTAGTTGTTGGAGGAGCAAAAAGATGTGAGAGATTAAGTATAAAAGATCAAGTAGGTGGTGACACTCTAGGCTACCTCTGGCTGAGCTGATTTATCGTTCCAGCAGCTATCTCCAAATTGCTTTATGAGCTCAATATTAAGGCCGCTTTACTTCAGCAACATATGCACTAAGTGCATTATGTTTTTTCCAGCTCAACTTAAGCTTCAACTGATGACTCTTTTCGGTAAAATTGTGAAATGTTGTCAGGCATTAATTTGAAATGGGAGCTGCCTAGATTGCAGCCATTGCGAGGCAGCAACAAAATAATCTACTTATGTTTTAATAAATAATTCGTTACTGCATTGACAACTTGTTGCATCGCCTTTTGTTGTTTTCCAATGCGAGCCCAATTTTTCAACAATACATTGAGTTATTATCGAATTTTTCCAATGCCCATATCATATTGCAGTCAACGCGAACATGCAATAAATAACTCTTATTTCCAAGCGATTGATTACATAATGCCAGTGGAGCATGTGTTGCTGCATTTATGATTTAATTATAGGGCTTTTACGCTCGGATCGAACATATTTCAAAAACATTTTTTATGTGCTGCTAAATGCTGCAGAGGAGTAATTTAATGAAACCACTCGTGGCAGCTAAATGCGTATTATATCGAGCCGCCATACACCGATCGATGCGTTGCGATGCAGCGACGCCCACACAGAATGAACCCAACAAATTGAAGTAAAAAATGCGCATAAATTTTCAAAAAAAAAAGCACACACACAAAGGAAACTCCAAAGCATTACAGCGGCAGTGCACTCAAGAAAATTGCTACAATTTGACGAGCGGCGGCAGCAACAAAAACTACAAACATATAGTATACTATATACTTATATTGAACAACTATCTGGGGTTTACTTTACACCCAAACCGGGGGCAAATAACAGGTGTCAGCTGTCAGTTCAGCAGCGTCACAGACACAGCTTCCCACACACATACACACACACAATGTTGATTGTTGTTAGTGCTCTGATTTTTGCAAAGTTTTGGCTCAAGTGATAAATATTAAGTACTTAGTTTTTATGGTTATGGCATTAGTTATTACTTGTATTTAATTAAAAGTCGCTTGTGCTTTTATTTCCGGCATTTTCAATAAGCACGCCTGTCTGCCTATTTTAATCAAACAATTCTTGACGAAACAATACGTTGTTTATACACTTTTGAAAAGAGTATTTTGCTGTTAATATCTTTCTGGATGGGTCTACAAGTTTTTGTCGAAACTACCAATGAAATATGATTTAGTAACAATGCTAAAAGAATGACCTTTCAAGTTCAACCAAATGGAAATTTTTCCACACAGGTTTATGTAGCTTGGAAATACATTGTTATAGCCATGGGAGTAGCTTGTAGAAGCTTACTTATTTCATTTCTGAGATCGGAGAGACAATTTAGAATGGAGACAAAATTAAGTAAAGTCCCTTTTTCTTGTATAGGTTACAACTTTATCTTTTTTTCCCCAAGGTTAGATATTTATATAAATTTTTAGCAAATATAGTATTTCATAAAGAAGGATACATTTTAAAATATACAAATTTTCAAACATTAAAAGGAATAGATGATTTTTGTATTTTTTTCTTAAGGTTATAAAATTTATATAAATTTTTAAAAAATATAGTATTTTGTAGATTTGTAGGATCAATTTGAAAATATTCAAATTTTCAAACATCAAAGGGATAGAAGAATAAATGATCTTTAAAACCAATAAATGGCAGAGATGCGTATATGTCTTATAATCTTTAAATACAGACTTATGGCTTATGGGTTGTTTAAAACTGAGAAGAAGAATACCAAGATTTTGAAAGTTGATTTCATATTTCTATGCTGTTTAAAAGATATTCAAGAGTATTTCTCATTAATAGAGCCTCAACTGTAGAAATTTGTTTAATATTTAAAAAAAATATACAACAATGTGGAGCTGCAAAAAAAAACAAACATTCACAGCCCACATGGCATGGCTTTTAATTATAAATTGTCTGTCAATGCAAGAGAAAAAAAAGAGTCACAAAAGTTTTCATGGCTTTGGCACAAATTTATTGACGCCTTTGCGACTGTGACTGTGACTGCGACTGCCCGCTGACTGTCTGGCTGGCTGCTTCTTTTTCTTGTCCAAAATGTGCAAAGTACATAAATTATAATACAACGCAACGCCAGCGAGTAAACATATCTCATATATATACATATATATATATGTATGTATATGGTCAACTTGTCAGTGGCAAAAAATTACAGCGTAATTCGTGTTTAAGTATAATTTAGACTTGTTATTCTTTGTTTTTCTTCGACTGTTTTTTTTTTCTTCTTGCTTTTTTTTGTAATATTATTTTTTTCCGTCTCATGGCCAACGACGTTTTAGTTGACGACGAAGCCACCGCCGACGATTTCCTCAGCTCATTAAACGCATTAAGCTCGCACCCAACTGAAATGACCGACAGCTCGTATACGTAATAGCCTCAATTTTTCAAACGCTTTTTTCGGCCTCTAGATTTCGCACTTTTTACAAAAAGGCCGCCCGGCGCCCACATGCCTAACAACCGGACCAAGTTCTGACTTGTCCAAGCAAATGTGCCAAATTTTTTATATTGTTTTGAAATTTGATTGAAGTCATTTTTTTTCTTCTCTACTTTTTGGCAAAAATGTGTTTTTACGCCTAATGGATGTTTGCTGCACAACATGTTCGATGGCGTAATTCAATTTGGCAAAAACGATTTGCATTCTATTTGGCTCGATTGTGCTACAACATGTAATTGCGAGTCCAAATTGGTTATTATTAATAAAGACATAATTGTATAAATAGCATTTAATTATGGTTTAGGCAGCGCAACACCTGTAGAAGCCTACAAGTTGACCAACCAGAGAGGA